CCCTCAGATTCAGTCGAGAAACATTGTCGATTCGTGGTAAAACAACCTGACTTTTGGAGGGCATAGCTTTAAGAATAGCTCGGAACGCCTCAACTGCTGCCTCTCGTGTGTCCCATGCACTCGCTTGGAAATTATTCCTTTAAAAAAAATAAATAAATAAGTAAATTACTTTATACGCAATACGATACACAAGTCATTTTCTACATACCTTCGTAACGAACGATCATCATGACTAAGCCACCCCAACAGATTACCCGCTACAGCAAACGAAATGATTCTTTTAAAACCGTTTCTGATGTGTCATTGCCAAACGTATGACGTTTGACAAACTGCCAAAGAAAGGAATATCACACTCAACGACCGAACAATCTATTGACCCTAGTTAAGAAGGTTTTCCATGCAAAAGTCCACGATATTACACTCAGATATTACATTATACGTTAAACGTACTTTAGAATATCAATAACGTGAGGATTTGTGAGCGGAAAATGGCCAAGAGCTTGAGCGGCTTCATGTCGTACTAAAGCATTGCGTGATGACAGTAACGCACCAAGCCGTTCTGTCTTGTTCGCCTGCTTTTCCATTTTCTTTTTGTGGTGCTCTGCACCATACAAAAAGTTAACCTGCAATATAAAGGTTTATTTCGGCAAGATTTCCTGGCAGCATATCAGTTCCATCTTACCCAAACAACTCAAATCATCCATAAGTATATGATGACATGCAACTCAACTCATCTGTAAGTTGATAAATCCGTTTTATAAGTTTGGTCATGCCACGAAATAGAAAATCTCATAGTCTCATAACTTCTGGAATGCAAAACAAATGCAAAACGTTTATCTGGATAGCCTGGCCATCCAGAATGCAGCATTTCTCGGTGTTGCACATTAAACATAGCTAGACGAATGTTATAAGCTCTATGTATTACTAAATGGTGCTGGATAATTACCGTTGTGGAAAGTTATGAAGTGGTCATTACACGTACGTCAATAAAACTACACTCACTAATTCTATTACATAAGGTAATATATCAGAAAGAAACATTCTTAAACTAACAAAATGCAGTGCTTAAACTAACAAAAATACGACAGACACAACCTCCTCCCCCCAACTCCCGCCGAACTATCCAAGCGTCTCACTAAAATTGAAACTAATGGCCGACCGCAAAATACTGGAGTAGGTGGCAGGATAATCTAAACAAAAACGTTTGCTGGTCGTGAGGTATGTGAGCTAGTTTGGTAAGTTCTTTAGCCTGGTTGAAGGATTCACTTGGCATCTAATAAGATTCTCTACAGCTTTCTACAATGAATCGTGCAGTCGGTTAATTATCGAGAGTTTATGCTGTGCTGGTTTGGAATTCACGCCAACTGTACGTGATCTGCTCTTATAGCTATGTTGCGTTGTTGATTGTTCCCGTATCGCTTCTCTGATATTTGGTTTTCATTAATTTCCAGTTTGCTTATATCAGTTGTAGCGACTGTTTTAAAAGAATTACGTGTCATCTTTGACTGATTTTCCGTTGAAGAATTGTTAGAACTGCTACTGAAGTGATCTATCCATGATACAAAATTACTGCTTTCGTTGTGTATAATACAAAGGGTTCATGTTTTTTCCAATGTGTATGTGAGGGCGGAGAGTTATTTGTGCTCATTAAATTTTTATCCTTGTTTAGTTTCTTTACTCATACATATATCCTTACTCATACAGTTCTTCCGTCGCAGGAACTTTTGAAATTAAACCCTTGAATCAATACAATGACATACACGAAGGCTCAAAATTACGTCTTCGTTTTATGGGAAGCAAAAAAACAAAGCAGGTTTTTTTCTTTGATCACCTCAGTAAAAGTTCATCATCAGCACTTCCAGAGCTTGCTGGTACACGCAAATCCAAATGGCACGGTAAACTTACTTGACATTGTTCATCAACAATCGCTCAATAAAGCTTCAAACTGATAAGGGTTCTAACCACAAAATTACACTGTCAACTCGAAAACGAATTAGTTTTTCATAACTGTCTACCGAATGCAAATATTCAAACGGTCCTCTTAATGCTTGCAATGATAAGAATCTCCTTCCGTTTGAGGGTGACACCATTCACATTTACTTTCCCTACTATTCAGAGAATCGCGTATTGTCGATACTCTTCGAGAACATTTACGTTTGTGATGGAATGAAGTAATCTCACGGCAGATAATGGTTTTTACGATTTCCGAACTTGAAAGTTGGTTTCCACATTCACGGAAGTATCGATTTGCTATTTCTGAAGCGAAATGGGTTATACCATCCGTCGATGTAATCGGTTACTTGGCAACTAGAAGCTAAGCTATCATTAACAAGCCATCTTTCCATTTTTTATTCCTTTCCCAATTTAGTCATTTATCACATCATCGTCATCAGGACCTCGCAATCTTTAGAGCTCTTTGGACAACTTTCGCTGCAAAAAAAGTGTCAAACTCGGTGGTCCAAGCACTGCCAGGCTATTTTCGCCGAAATTCAAGCTATTCTACAATTCTGTCTTCTGCTTATACTATGCGATCCGTATCTTGCAACTGTCATAGTTTCTAATTACAGTACTAAGTAGTTATTTCTTATCATCTTTAGATGCAATGATGTTTTTCCATGGGTCTTAATCCTTAGTCGAAATGGTCGAAGAATTCTTGATGGAAATCCGGTTTCTTGAGTAATCCCAAAACCTCGCTTGCAATAAAGTTTTCTGTTCTGTAGCTTTAACCTGATTTTGTGTTGAGTCTTTTGTCCTTGACCACTGCAAAACAGTTAAAGCTTATGTCCAGCAGATCATTTTAGACGTATCGTAGTCCTTCCACTTAGACGAGACAAGATTTGATCTTCACCAAAGCGTCATCAGATCACTCTAATTAAAGTGTATACAAGAGATAAGCTATTTCTGCATCTCTTCGTATTCTTTTATAGCTCCATCATACTCATTTGCGTATAAGCCGAATGAAGACTTTTGGTCGCAGTCGTGCCTACCGACCCAGGATCGATGTCGACACCAAGATTCTTGTACATAACCGTTACCAATGCTAAGTGGCAGCTAAATGAAATCCAAGCATTTCCTTGGCTTCAGGCTGTTGGTCACACCTTTAGGAGAATTGTACAGCAGCTCTGGTTGGTCATTACTTTCCCCTACTTGACGATTCCTCTCAAAGCCTCGTAAAGTCCTTATTAAGGAACAGAAAGACGCATAAGCAACTTTCTTCTTAACAAAGTTTTTATTTTGAAATGCTTGCGCAGTTTGTGTCTACTTATTGGATAGTGTCAAACCTATCAAACTGTCATCACCTTTCCATCCACATTCTAATAGTCTTATCCCAAAAAATACTGGAAAGGTTGCTAAAAACCTTCAACGACTCGAGTAGTCAGAGGACACACACAACACCTGAACTGTGTTTTGACCCTCCACTTCTCACGAATTTCAGCCTGGTGTTACTTTCTACGTTGTGTTCTCCCGTCATTGCCTGACGTCGTGTTCACGCCTTTTTGATGTTTGCACATGGGTACGTGTACGTGAGTATATATATGCGTCACTTGAAACATTCTGAATATGGAGAAAATGGTTTCTGATTAATACGGATATGGAAATAGTTAATTTCGATATCTCATTCTCAACTGTATTTTCAGGTGTTACATGTAAGAAGTAGGTGGACGCTGTTACAGTTTTCGTCAATGCACAGAGCCTTCATAAAATTCAGTAAATGGGGTCAAAAATCTTCAGAATCCGAAAACTTCAGAAATGATCACAAAATAATCGGTGGAATTCTCTGGCAATAAAATGCTGTTGCAGAAAAGATGCAAAGTAGAATGCTTTTTGAAAATGAGACAAATTGACTTGGAGAAGTTCCTTTCACTTTTTAGCTTTTAATTCTATCCGAGATGTCCCTATTGCTTATCACGGAATTGTAACTAAAAAGCGCTTTTTCCTATTGTAAAGGTGTTGAGAGAAGTAGTTGGTTAAATACTGTGTAATTCTCAAATTATAATGATATTTTCTGAAAATAATTCTGCATCTTGATTTTTAAGTACTGATGATTTCTGAGATATGAACTATGGAGGAAGCGCAATATTTTAGTGCCATATTCGGATCATCATTATTTTCAAACGATATCATCTTATTCATTCGATGTTTCTCTTTCAAAATTTAATGCTTAATATGTCAGCAGTTGAATGGTATTATACTTATCGCCAAACTTTCCTTTTCATTTGACAAGTTTTTCAAAAACCAGTTCTTCCATGTTACAAATAATTGATAAAATTCACACTGCGAAAATGATTCGTAAATTTATTACCCCGTTGATTCTATAAAAATTATTCGTGCTTTTAGTACGATACTGCCAGTATTCCTTCTGTGATGCATAAATAACTTGTGCCTTTTACTGTTTGAAATTTCTGATAAAAATTGATAAAACTGAACTTACGTCTTCCGGCAATATTCATTGTATTGAAATCGCATAAGGATTATACAAAAAATGAAGTGTTTAAACTCATAATTATTTAGTTTTTTTGCCAATAGTGCTTCATTCGATCATTAATTTTGTAGAACATTTTGGATTTTTCATATCGTTGTCTTTTGTAAAGTGTGACTAAAATCTTACAAGAATCTTCCATCAGAGAAAATCTCCATTTAGACCGGTTCTACGGTTCTTGAACTTTAAAAAAAAAAAAAATTTAAATAAATCATTACTGGAATGACACTTCAAAAAGCTAAATAAATGGAAGACATTTTACGTTATAAAGTTCACTTCTTGGTTCTTAACACAAATCATCTCAAACTTATTTTAAACATAAAGCAAAAGAAATCAGAATTGAACAAAAAAAGTATAGAACACTTAAAATGAAAGTCAACTGTTTACATGTGACAAAATGTTCTACATGCGACAGTTATTTAGCTTAACTAAATTACTAATTGATTGTAATTGTTATCTTTTACATTCGTTTTACTTATTTTTCCTATCTTTACCGCTTATCATCTTATCAAGCACATCTTCCTTTTCTACACAAACCTGTCACCAAAATATAGTCAAACTTCATCCCTTTTAAAATCACACTTTCATTTGAACAGGTAATGAAATAATCTTTTATTTTTGCTGACAGCTGAAAGAATTTACTGTTGGCGCAAAATGACAGTTTTGTATAACTTTTGTCCTTATGCTTTAAATTTCAATTTGATTGAGTGTACATAGTCGGTAAAGAAATCTTCACATAATATTATCAATGATACAATAATGACATCATCTTTCCATCTTTTTCTTTCTTTTATACTTTTTCACGGCATTTTTTTTTTTCGGAGACTTACTTGAAGAATTTTTTCAACAGAAATTTCAATCATTGTTGTAGCCCACGATCAATATATATCGTATAATTTTAAAAGATATCCGCAAGGATGACGGCTATTATTCGACAGAACTGCAAAAGAATCACAGCGACGTATTTGGTGAAAGTAGTTAATTAGAATCATGATGAAAAGTTCGAATATTCATTTGTTGAAATGGTATTACATTTCTAAAATACCATATTACCTGAGTGTTCTAAAATAATCCCGATGCAATATCAACAATTGAAAAGCTCTAAATGCAATAAAACTTCTACAAGGGAATTTGTTTATTCTGGAATAATTTTAACTTTGTTATTCCTTGTTTCATGACAAAAAAAAAAAAAAAAGAAAAGAGGCATTTATTAATCATTAAAGGTTAATGGGTTTTACAGTTATGAAGACTTTTTCTACGTGAACAATTTCTGAGTACACAAGGAATTTTGATAAACTCCTTATCCTTGGTAATTACTTCTAAGGTACTGGACCGAATTCTGATTCTCGATTTCTTTAATCTTCTTCAGTATTCCTTAAATGAAGGTAATGCACACGAAATGAAATACAGAATCAGTTGTGGCTCATTTTATTTATCAAATTGTACATCAGTGGATAAGAATATCCTCAATGTTCAAGAAATCACAATTTAGCCTCCTAAATAGTCCAGTATAATTTTGTTAATAACAACACTGATTAATCTTGATAACATTTGAAAGTTGAAGTTATTATATCTTCAATGTATTGATCTAATAGATTGCTTCCTATCTTTTTACATTTTGAGAGTTAACAGTGTTAAATGATAGGGATAATTTTCCAATCATTTTCATCAATTTATTAATTATTTTTCGCCTTTTGTCGTATTTTAATCAGGATGAAAACAGAAGAGAATTAAAAAGAAAAAGAAAAAAGGAAAAAAGAAAAGAAAAAAAAAGAAAAAAAAAAGAAGCTTCCGGGAAGAAATAAACCAAGGAAATTATTGTTCTGATCAATGATCATTAAATGTTGAAAAACAATGTTTCACTAACAATTGTATCTTCAAATACATTGAATGTTTCCTCAACATCAACATCTCTCACATGACGTACTACCAAAAGGTTATTCTCACAGCTGATATCTTTAACAACATCAAATGAAAAAATACGTTTAGTACTTTCAAACATACATTAATGTTGAAATTGTTAAACAGAAGACATCGATCTATCTTATTCCCATAATTGTTTCACATATTTATTCTTTCAACTTTTTTTCTTCTTTCATGAAAAACATGCAGGCATTATCAGTTGTCAGTTCTATATCACTTTTAATAACTTTTTCAATTTTCTCAAATAATTTGAATCTCTATCCGTTAGTAAAGTTGATGAATACCGCAAAACTGCTCTATCAATTTCATCTTCAAACAATAATTTTATTTCCTTTATCACTGCTGAGTATTATATGAATAACAGCTGTAACTGTGTTTTTAAATTATTGAAGAATTTCTTAATGAATGTCATATAGTTTGATTCATCTATTTAGGATTCTTAAAAGTTAAATTTCAACTGAAATATGTCTTATAGTTTCTTATGATAATCAAAAATCCAGTTTATTGTTGTGATATTTTGCTATTTTCAGTGATCATATAGTTTTACTTCGCACATCCTTTTATCATAGCAAAGCTTCTGTTTAAAGAGCTGAAGCAGTATCATAGCGTTATCAATGACAAATTCTTCATTCACCATTTAACGAAGATCTCTTCATTTTATTCTTATTGACCAGAGATAAGCATATTATTAACTCTTAAAAACGAATTTTATAAAATATTAAAAATTTGAACGGTATTCCTTCCTTGTATTTAATGAATTCAGAGTCATGATAAGGTTAGTCATTTGATGAAATGCATTTTCAGTATTTACGAATTTGATAAGGCACCTAACTTGATTTCAACCCTTTGAAAGATGTTCACAACGTTCGCTGTCAAATTATTCCGTTTAATATATTCCCATTAAGATGGTGTATACAAATATTTCGCATTTAATGTGAAATTCAAATAACATTTTTAATTGCAATATAACATAATACAGATAACTCTAAATTACCCTTTGCAACATATTGTAAATTCAAATTCCATTGACCGTTCAAAACTATTTGTTGAAAATTTTCGGTTTTTCCTTTTTCTTTTTTCTTTTTTCTTCTCCAAAACAAGTTATGTAGTTTGTCGATGAGAGTTTGTCAACCATTGTCATTACTGATGATAATTTTACTGTTTTATTTATTCCTCTTGAAACATTTGCCACAAATTACTATCATTAACCTTTAGGACAGTCGTTTTATTGATAAGTTATTTTTCCATTTCATTATATTTGCACTATTATGAAATAAAAAAAAAAAATTTAGTAGGAGGGGGAAGGCTTATTG